AGTTATGGTACCAAATGCAGTACATTTTAGTACATTTTGTACACTTATAGTGCGAGTTCCCAAAAGCTTCCGATTTACCCATCATACACTTCAGCAGTGATCCTCATTCCAAATTTAAGAGTTCCATCTCTTCCTCGAATAGAAAGGTTACCCTATTTAGTACCGTTTAATATTTTTCGTACCGGTATAGTACGAATTTCAAAAACGCAGCCTTATCTGACTACTTCGGATCAAGATTGGCCCTCACCCAAAATTTGAAGATTCTAGCTTCAACCGTTTTGTCTAGGCGTTAATGAATTGTTAGGTCAGTCAGTCAATTACTTTACCCTTTGATTGTTATTGTCGTGCCTACTACCCGGTATTATTATTTTTTTAAACTTTCCCAGTGTAGGAACGGTAAACTAAAATCTAAAATAACTTTAAGAATGAAATCGATTTTCTATAACTGCAATGTTCATTAGTTTATTCTAAGCAAACAAATAAACACACGCAGTATCAGCCTCAATGCGACTGATAACCATCGATTACATAAATGCAACAACATCCTTTTACTAAATTCCAAATATACAATAAAATCTCTGTTTAACACATGTCGTAAATGGGATTTGTAAACTGCCATCCAGACCTTGCCCAAACGGCAGCGCCATCATTAACAACTACAAACATGGTCGTAAAACTCACTCCACTCCACCCCCACGCCAGATAAGGAGATGTCAGCAAAAAGATAACAGAAAAATTCTTCAGATGTGTCACATCAAACATAACAGCAACAACAACGACAAATTGAGGGTCTGGCATGACAGAGGGACACAATATTTAAGCTGCAACAACTAACAGTAGGACATAAATAAATCATTGTTTTATGAGCTTTTAATGCAGGGACGGACGGCCGGACGATATAGATTTTATGAGCAAATTGTAAGTTGACAATTTTCAAACCTTTCGTCCCCCTTACGTCCCTCAGATTTTATGACTTTATTACGATTAAATTGATTCCCAGTGGTCGAATGGATCGATTTTAAAAGGTCATAAAATCACTTGGAGGCATTCGCAAGAATATGTCGTTATTTAAATGACTTTAATGTCAAATATGAGGGTGGGAGTGAGTGAATGAGGGCGGAAGGAATGTTAAAAGCATTATCCTTAAATAGCTGCCCTTTGGCCTAAAGCAAAGTACAAATATAGTAATTGAAATTGTTCGGAAGTGCTGGATAGTTATTGAAATAGTGTAGGAGAAATAAAACCAAAGTGATATATGAAATTTGTAATTTTTCTTGAGACCCTAATAATAATTAAAAATCTACTTAGAAATATCCGTCGGATTAGATGTTATACCCTAGACTATGTGCAATATACGTGTATACAAACCATATGCGACCAAATGTTTTTATACCTTCCACCATAGTATGGCAGCCGCTATAGTTGATAAACTTAATATGTCATTGCATTTGTATCACCTCGAAATATATATTTTAGACCCTACAATATTTAGACCCTATATATTCTTGGTCAGCAAAAAACTCTATAATGTCCGTCCGCCTCTAGCTTCAAAACGAATTGAAGTATGTTGATAACATTTTGCTCAGATGTGTGTTTGGTCCACAGGATTTTGGCATTGAAAATCAGCTATATAGGTCCAAGTGTTGATATAGCCCACATATGGCGATACCGAATATAGATAGGAATTTTGATGATTTTAACGATATTATCAACCAAAATTGTTTCAATTTTCGTATTTGAAGTAACTAATGGGTACTGTAAGCTCTGATAGAAAATTGGCATGCAGGTCCACTTCTTCGTATAGCCCTCATATAACGGTACCGCCCTAAATTCGATATTTTGATCATTTTCGAATATTATTCACCGAAATTATTTGAAATTTCCTATTTGTAGTTCATTATAAGTACTACAACCTGTGATAGAAAACTGCCAATGCGGGTCCATGGCCTTAATTCTTATTCTATGTTTTATAAAGGAGAAAAATGTCAAATGAAACATTTTATAAAGGAAATATTGTTAATTTCCTATTCTCATATAACATGAATCCAGCCACAGATCTTCGTATAGCCTCCCCATTTTGATGTTTTTAACTATATTGTCCACCGGAATTGTTTCAAATTTCGTATTTGTTGTTCATTATGTGTACTACATTCAGTGATAGAAAATTGCATCTGCTGGGACAGCTCTTCGCGTAGCCTCCATATAACTGTACCTCCCTATATGCGGTATTTTTTTTTTTTTTTTGATTTCAACAGCATTATCTCTCCATGCAAATGGTGGAGCGTATTCAAAGTTCGACACGGCCGAACTTACTGCTTTTTTACTTGTTCTTTTCAAACTTGTTAAAAAAAATCAATGATTTTGACAGATATCCTAAAAAATTAAAGTTCTCCAATACGTTATTAAAACTCAAAAAAATAATTTTTTGAAGTCCGCAGCATTTTCACTGAAGATTTTCTCTATCCTTATGAAGGATATCCTTGAAAATACATTTTCTTTCAAAAAATTCACAACTCTTTCTCTACGAAATCTTCCACTATTTGTTCAGGAAGTCTTCGTAAGCATATTTTGAAGAATCCGCGATCATCGTTTGAGATTTCCCATTATATTTGAAACAAGTAAGCTAGAGGGCGGAACGACCATGTAATACCTTACGTCAATATAATGTGTGTCAAAGTTTTTATTTCATTTCAAAGAAGCTATCTATATTTTTGACTTTTATTTATGTGGACCCAATTTGTATTTGAAAGCCATATATTTCTGCGTATATTTTGATGTATTCATAATTTCTGTCTACAGGGTGAAACAAAAACTGCAACAACAAAGTCAAACGTCATAATTTTTAATTTTTTTTAATGTTTATTGAATGAAAGCAAAAAGGTCGGAAATAGCATCAGATTTTAGAATAAGTTTAGATTTGTTCGAATTCGTCACCTTTGGCACGAATTAGTCACCTTTGGCACGCTGCCCGTATGTTACTCTGTGGTATTTTGGCCCATTCCCGGCGAAGCACTTGCTTGCGGTGATCGACACTTTGGTATTTTTTTAGTGCCAACCTTGCTTTCAAAAATACTCCAGACAAAATAGTCCAACGGTTTGGTATCCGGAGATTTTGGTGGCCATTGTGTGCTGGAAATGAAGCGAGGAATCTCATTTTGTAACCATTCTTGAGTGGCGCGTGCTGAGTGCGATAGAGCTTAGTCCTGTTGAAATGTCCAAGGTCTGCGGCCAAAATGTTTGCGTTCCAAGGCTTTAATACCCTCCAGAAAATTTTCGCATTCGGCATTTATTCTGATGCCACGGTCGATTAATACGAGCGAAGAGCGCCCATCGGCTATTATGGCGGCCTCTTCTCTTTCGAGACGAGCTTAATGATCAGGAATTTGCAGTGAAAAGGAAAGCCAGATAGACACTATCTCACACTCACCACTATGCGACGCGTTTCGCCGTTGGTTAAGCGGCTCATCAGGCATATTTGGTGTGGATGATGGCTTACAAGGGCCGTTCTCTGGAAAGTAGTATATATTTCGAACTTATTGCAAATTAGCATATGCGAATTATACACTAGAAACTCTCCAAATTCGCCAGTTCACAACTTTCGGCCAAGTGAAGCAACTCTTTAGCTCTTTTGAGTCTATTTTCTTTCTGTTACGGTGTAAGTTCTTGCACTTTTTGGAATTTCAATGGCTTTACCTCGAGCTCATTTTTCAACATTTGCCGAATGGAATATTACGATATGTTGAACTCTCGAGCCATTTTCGCTTCTTCACTTTTCGAACTATTTCTGCTGATGTTGCTGTTTTCTTCCTCCCACTTCCTTGATGTCGGGCTACGCTACCAGTATCACGGTACCGGGCGATGGTACAGACACAAAAGTTTTATTCACATTTAAATGCTGGAGTGCTCTTACGGTAGCCACTTCTGGGTTTCCTGCCAAATAAATAAAACAAAAATAAACAAACGCTTGAATTCCATCACGAATACCTTTTTTCTGGATAATTCCCACCAAAATGCTTTTGTACGCCTGTAAACAATATAATGAGCTGGTGGTTGCATTTTTTCCTCTTACCCTGTATATCATTTGATACGGCCCCAACGTGCCTCATCCAAATAATGGTTTTTAGACCCTAGGTCTCTTTAGACCAAATCCGTTTCAGGACATTTGGAGTCGATCCAGCGATGTCCGTCCGTCTGTCTGGCTGTTGCGCACAATAACTCTCGAAGGGAGTATTCGATTTGATCCAAAATTGGTACAGCGAATTTTAATATTTACATCATGGCTAGGTGAGGTGCGAAAATGGTCGGTTCTCTTCATATTTCACACATCTCATTATTTTTACTAACACAAGATCTGCTGTGAAGATGAAATGTATCGGTCCACTCCTTCTGATACTTCGCCCACAAAGGGTTCAAATTAAAAAAAAAAAACAAAATGCTCGTAAAATGCGAAATAAACATCCAGCTCTCTTCAAATTACACACATCCAAACATTCTTGCGAACGCAATATCTGTTGTGAAGATGATAGATATCGGCCAACCCCTTCTGGTACCTCACATACAAAGGGTCTCAATCTCTAATACCTATATCTGTCATATCTTGCGAATCATTTAAATTGTATTTTTTTAGATTTTTTGACTCCAAAAAAATCTGGGATTATTTTCAAATATTTAAAAACTTTGGACTTTTTTATTTTCTAATAACTTTTTAGCAAAAAACGTTATTCAATAAATTTCCTGCAAAAATATCCTCGATTTACATTGAAATTTGTTATTAATGACTTGGGAAAATTATGTCTATTTTTTTTTTGAAAAAATGTACTATTTGCTATGATCTCTTATTTTTAAAGAGATTTAATTTCGAACGAATTTAGTTTCAAATTAGTTTATATTTCTTAAAACTCAACCTTGTCTTACACTTCTACCTTAAGCTACAAATATTCGTTTTTAATTTTTGGCAAAAAACTAATCTGACGTTTTTTACTTTTTTCCCTTCTTTGCAGATGACACTTTTCATAATGACTTTGGTTCAACATCATCGCTCACAAATGACATTATAGCCGATCACCAGCAGCAGCATCATGCCCACCATCCACATCATCATCATCTCCAGCTCCATCAGCAACACCAACAGCAGCAACAGCATCATCATGAAATATCGACGTCACCACACAATGGCCGCAAGCCACGACGTAATCGAACTACATTCTCATCCGGACAATTAACAGCCCTCGAAAAGGTATTCGAACGAACACACTACCCCGATGCATTTGTGCGTGAAGAATTGGCCACCAAGGTGGGTCTGAGCGAGGCTCGTGTTCAGGTATGGTTCCAAAATCGTCGTGCCAAATTTCGTCGCAATGAACGCAGTTCGACCACAGGAAGACCTTTGATAACAACCACACCACAGCCCGTACCGCCCATAACAACGGCCCACAAGTTCTCACCCGAAAAAGGAGCTGTTCTGCTGCAACAGCAAATGAATTTGGCCCATCCGCATCACCACCACCATCATCATCATGCTGCTGCTGCAGCGGCAGCATATTCACTGAGCTTTCCATCTGCCCTGGGAATGTATGCATCGTCGAAGAACTATGTGAACAGTTCGTACAACACCTTTGCAACGGCAAGCGCAAATACTGCGGCCGATGGCTTAACAGGTCCTTGTGGATTTTTTCCCACCTCCAACTATTGTGGGCCAAATTATCAACCGAATTATTCGTCGTTGCGTTACAAAACAGCTCAAGGATTTTCGGCTCTATAACCAAAGGAATCGTGTGGCGTGCGGAGTGTTAATGTGAGAGTGAAGAGAGAATATAAAGAGAATTCTTAAATTTTAAGTGCAATTTAGTCAAATTTTGAGTATTTAATTTTTTATTTATTTATTATTTTTTTGTTAATAAAAAAGTTTTGTTCTTAGAAAAAAAAAAAACAGTTTTGTGTTACCTCATATAAGGATGTGGAAAAAGTAAAAGTGAGTATAAGAATCTAATATTCTTTTTATACCCTACACTCCACAAGGTGGTCAGGGTATTATGTCTTTGTGCATTTGTTTGTAACAGGCAAAGGGAAACGAGATAGACCCATAGTTCCTTTTGATGATCCGCATAGAATAACAATTCTGAGTCGATTTATGCATGTCCGTCCGTCCATCTGTCCATGTATTTTTGTAAACAGTTCGCATCTATTGTCCTATCCAGATGAAATTCTGCACAACTCATTTGTTTGGCCCAAGGATGAACCTTATTGAAATTGGAGATAATCGGTTAAAATTTAGAAATAGCTCCCATATATATCTTCGTCCGATTTGCCTTTTATTGTGCACCAAACGTGTAATATCAGCCCGAATAGTATGGAATTTTGCAAATACAACCAAATTAGGCCTGAAAATAAGTATGCCAAATTTTATCGAAATCGGTTCAGATATAGCTATAGCTTCAATATATATTGTTCATCCGATTTGTTATTTTTGTCCTTAGCGGCCGTAATATGCACTCTGTGAAAACAATATTTGGGGAAATATATCAAATACAGCTCAGAAATACATTTGCTAAATTTTATCGAAGATCGGTTCAGATTTGGATATAGCTCCCATATATAACTTCATCCGATTTACTTTTTATTGTGCACTAAACGTGTAATATCAGCCCGAATAGTATGGAATTTCGCACATACAACCAAATTAGGCCTGAAAATAAGTATGCCAAATTTTATCGAAATCGGTTCAGATATAGCTATAGCTCCCATATATATTGTTCATCCGATTTGTTATTTTTGTAATCCGCAGCCGTAATATGCATTCTGTAATAACAATATTTGGGGAAATATGTCAAATACTGCTCAGAAATACATTTGCTAAATTTTATCGAAGATCGGTTCAGATTTGGATATAGCTCCCATATATAACTTCGTCCGATTTACTTTCTATTGTGCACTAAACGTGTAATATCAGCCCGAATAGTATGGAATTTCGCACATACAACCAAATTAGGCCTGAAAATAAGTATGCCAAATTTAATCGAAATCGGTTCAGAAATAGCTATAGCTCCCATATATATTGTTCATCCGATTTGTTATTTTTGTAATCCGCAGCCGTAATATGCATTCTGTAATAACAATATTTGGGGAAACATGTCAAATACAGCTCAGAAATACATTTGCTAAATTTTATCGAAGATCGGTTCAGATTTGGATATAGCTCCCATATATATAACTTCGTCCGATTTACCTTTTATTGTGCATTAAACGTGTAATATCAGCCCGAATAGTATGGAATTTCGCACATAAAACCAAATTAGGCCTGAAAATAAGAATGCCAAGTTTGATCGAAATCGGTTAAGATATAGCTATAGCTCTCATATATACGGTTCATCCGATTTGTTATTTTTGTCCTCCGCAGCCGTAATATGCATTCTGTAACAACAATATTTGGGGAAATATATCAAATGCAGCTCAGAAATATCTTTGCCAAATTTTATCGAGATCGGATCAGATTTGGACATAGCTCCCATATAATATGTTTATACGATTTCAAATTAATTGTTCACCAAATGTGCAATATAAGTCCGAATTTAAATGATACAAATGCTTCGGCATATTTAGTCGTTTGAACTTTAAATTATAATAATAATCATAGCGTGTATGATTGAAATCTCCCATAAAAAAACTTTTAATTGTTATGTGGAGCTCTACTAAACTAGCTAAGTGATGTAGGGTATCATAATGTCGGCCCCGCACGACTTTAAGACTTTCTTTACTTTTTAAATTTATAAGACTTAGACACATATTTTGCCATGACTTTCTTTCTTTCCTTTAAACCAGGGATTTGTCTGCAAGGACATCTCATTACCCTAACTTGCATTTGATTTAAGAACCACTTTACCTGGCAAAAGATTACTTGGATAATTTGTCAAACTCTTTGATGAAGTTTCTTCGTTTTACTTTGTTTGCAAACATTAATTTGTTGTTAGAAGTTTTCGTTTTTAGCAGCGATGCATTGGTGGGGACAGTAGCGTCACAATTTAGATGGTGTATTAGATGTAACGTTGTCTTTGAATCTGTATTGGATGGTGGCAACGCCACTGGAATGTAGTTACAGCGCATCCTTTCGTTTAGATGTTTTGAAGGAAATAACGTTAATGAACAAGAGAATCTAGAACTTGAAGTGAAAGTTATTTGTTGTTTTTATTCCATTTTGTGTATTTAAATTACAATTTATTTTCAGCTGGCGCAACAATGTCACCTGGTAATCTGGTAGTTGTAGTTAATAACATTTAGCTAAAGTATTGTGAATACGTTATGACCTTAAAAAAAGTAACATAAATTCTCGGTGGTACAATGTACAAGCATAATGGAAAGTCTGTGAAACCATCTCTGACCGCATTTAAACCGAACGGATTTTTTACGATGCATATGTTTACTTACTCATATTGGACATGTTCATTACATCAGAATTCCAATTAAATATTTTAAAATAATGGATATTGTCCTCATTACCTAGTCCTCATTACCAAAATCGAAGATTGGGAGTTCGAAACTCAGAAAAAATAATAACGTCGGTTGTGGATGTATGAGACAGTGTGTCGTGAATTTAATTACATTTTGCGATAAAATTCAATTCTTTATAAATTACACCAAAATTCAAGTAGATTATGAAAGAAGAGCTAAAACTAGGAAACACTGTATATACATTTCAACATTTATTGACGGACAAACTTATTTTTTATCATAATTATAACATGTGACCAAAATAAATTCATTTTTCCATTATATATCGAGAGACCAAAATAATATTCGATGTTATCTGTAATAATGCCGAAGACCCTATACACCTAAAATGTGAGGATTTCAATGATATTTGATATCTTAACCAGAGACACCAACAGTGACATACACAGGGTGAGATGAAAAAACTGCAACCAAATTAAGACTGCTGTCATTTCAAAGCCATACGTCCGACAGCTGTTAAAATTATTCCAGTGACTGCTCATTATATTGTTTACAAGCGTACAAAAGCATTTTGGTGAGAAATTTTCAGAAAAAAAGTTATTCCTGATGGAATTCAAGCGTGATAGTGTGATTTCTTTAACTTTGGCTGGAAAACCACACGTGTGTATCATTAGAAAAAATCCAGCATTTAAATGTGAATAAACCTTTTGTGTCTCGTAACATCGCTCGTTATCGTGATACTGGTGGACGGAATAAAATAGCAACATCAGCAGAAATGGTTCAAAAAGTAAAGAAGCGACTTGATCGAAACACGCGTCGCAGTGGCCGAAAATGGCTCGTAAGCTGAACATATCGAAATATTCTATTCGGCAATATTGAAAAAAGAGCTCGGGGAAAAGAAATTGAAATTCCAAAAAGTGCAGGAACTTACACCTCAAAGAAAATAGACTCAAAAGAGCTAGAGTTGCTTCGCTTGGCCGAAAGTGGTGAACTGCCGAATTTGGTTTTCTCTGTTGAGAAAACATTTGTTGTCCAGCAGTTTGTAAACAAACAAAGTTATCGAGTTTACTTGCCAAAGAGGTCAGCTGAAAATGTGCACCTTCTGCTGGCCACCAGAACTCAAGCGCCGGTCATGGTGATGGTGTGGGCCGCCATAACAGCCGATTATCGCATTAATCGACCGTGGCATCAGAATTGGTGCCGAATATTATTGCGAAAATATTGTGGAGGGTGTATTAAGGCCTTGGGCATGCAAACATTTTGGCCGTAGACCTTGGACATTCCAACAGGACTCAGCACCATCGCACTCAGCATGCGCCATCCTAGAATGGTTACAAAGTGAGGTTCCTCGCTTCATTTCCAGCGCACAATGGCCACCAAAATCTCCGGATACCATCTGTTGGACTATTGTGTTTGGTGTATTTTGGAAAGCAAGTTTTGCACTAAAAAAATACCAAAGTGTCGATGACCTCAAGCAAGCGCTTCGCCGGAAATGTGCCAAAATACCGTAGAGCAACATTCGGGCAGCGTGTGACGGTTTCTATGGCCGTACAAAGGCCATAATTCGTGCCAAAGGTGACCAACTCGAACAAATCTAAAATTATTCTAAAATTTGATGCTATTTCCGAAATATTTGGCTTTCATTCAATAAAATTAAAAAAAAAAATACAAGTAATAAAGTGGCGGTCGGTTTTGCCGACAGATGTATAACCTCAGTCAATGTTCGATTATTTAAAAATATTTTGACTTCCGTTATGGTTATCTAAACTCTTGACAATATTTAGATATAGCAAGTTGTAAAAAATCGCTGAGTTGTTTCGCAAATTATGACAGGCAAAATTATTGTAAAATGTGACCCCTTGTTTGTGAGATACCACAAGGGGTTCGCATCTTCACAAGAGATCTTGTGTTAGCTAAAATGTTTGCTTTTATTTCGCCTTCTTTGTTATTCAAAACTTTGATCCTTTGTGGAGGAGGTACAAGAAAGAATGGTCCGATCCCTACAGTCTTTATAACACATCCTGTGTTGGTAGAAATATTCATTTTCGCCAAGTCTAAATGGAATCGGATGTTAATGTCGCATTTTATGAGTTTAATGTATATACAAAATTTTGACCTTTTGTGGGGGAGGAGTGGACCGATATATCCTATCTTTACACCAGACCTTGAGTCAATAAAATTATTGGGATGTGTGAGATGTGAAGACAATCGGACTCTTACATCACATTTTATAAAAGTTGTAATTATTCAAAATGTTGACCCTCTGTGGGAGAGGTACTTGATGGAGTGGACCGACATTGTCTATTTTGGCACCTGACCTAGCACTGATGAAAATATTAGGATTCGCAAAGTTGGAACGAAATCGGATTATCCTTTCTCTTTCTGTGCAATAAATTAT